GCATTTTCCTCTTCTCCTTTCCTGCCATGCCGAGATGGAAATAAGTATTTAGAAAAGAGAGGCTTCCTTCGGGATCCCTGAGTGAGATCTCATCTACCCTGAGCTTAGGTCTCATTACTCAGAGCCTTAAGGGCTTATTACATGGCTCCAATTGCCCCTTACACCATGCCCATGCCTCACAGATGTTATCAATCATGTACATCATCAGCCTCCTTAGGCCATGGCCTCAGACCCTGTGACTGGTCCTTCCTCCCCAGGCACTTCACCTAACTTGGCTACTTCTGGGTGTAGCTTCCAGGTTTCTCCACCCAGGCACTTCACCTCTTATGGCTACTACCAAATGCAGCACCTCAGCCTGCACTCCCTACCCAGGCACTTCACCATTGTGGGCTACTCCTGGGCACTGTGTCCTGCCCTCTTAGGCTCCTTCCTCCACCCCTCCTGGGCTTTGGGCCCCTAGCCCTGATCTATGGGCTCCCCTGCCCTGTCTACAACCCTCTCTGGGCTATGGGTCCTGTGACCCCCTCAGTCTCTGGCAGCGGTCCCTGACCTTTGGTCTCCCTGAAACCAAGGGCACCCTTCCCAGTTCTCCAGTTCTCTACTCTCTCCTGTCCTTCTCCAGGCTACTAGCTCACTAGCCCTATCTCCTGGGCCTCTCTATTCCTAGGCCTGTTTCTGCCCTCTGGGCTATGAGCCCACCAGCCCTTGCTCCCAGGTCTTTCCATTCACAGGCCTGTTGGGACTTCTTCCACCCCTTAGTCTTGTCTACAAACCTCCACAGTTGCTTACACCAGATCAGATGTTACCCAGGAGTCCTGCTGCAGCCCTGTGCCAGGAGCTCCTCTCTCCATGACTCTCAGGGCTAGACTGCCTGACCAGCTCAGGCCCTTGGCTCATGTAGCCTCCTCCCCTTAAAGTGACAGGTGCACTAAGCACCCTGTCACAGGGCCCTACATTGTTTCGATTACGATTTTTCTCTAATATATTCAAGGCCCAAAATCTGTTCTAAAGTAAAGATAAAATACCTCTGATAACAGTGTAATTAACACAGATTTATGTCAGTGCAAATGAGAGTAGGTTTGGATCTCAGTTTTGATAAACAAAGCTATTTGTACATTACTGGAACACCAAAATACAAGAAGAAAGCTAATTTTAAATTATGTTTTTTAAATTACCACACTGATTCTCCTCCCTCCCCATAAATTTAATTAAAAATAATTTAACATTTATATCAACATTCAGACCAGAATATCTGATTTACAAAGAGTGACGTTTCAGAAGTATTTTCTAATATAAACATTGAAGAATCTGTAACCTTGTCATCATGAAAAAGCCTATGCGTATCATTTTCATGAAATAGTGAAATAGCTCTCTGTTTACACAGGCTCTTTATACACCGATATGGACCTGCACAGAAAGAAAATCTTTTCCACATAACAGTTTTCTTTGATTGTGTATGTATAGGCCTATTTTTTGTCTCTGGAGATATAGCCAAGCTCCAAAATCTCCCTGCAGCTAAGGAAAAGCGTCTTCTATTTATTGAATAATTTTTACTGCATAAATATTTTAAGCATTTTACACAAATGGAATCCCACTTTAAAAGGCAATTGGCTGGCATGCATACTAACTGACTTCATTAAAACCACAGATTTATTAGCTAATCCTGGCTAACTCCGTCTCTAACTGTATATCTAATCCTGGCTAACTTTATATCATTTTCTGAAAACTTACTCATACACTTGGTGGGGCTGGAACTTGCTTAACAGCAGCTATTTAAAATTATGAAGCATTAATTTTATTATTTATGATAATAGGAAATATGTTCTTAATTCTTATAAACTCTATTTATGTTTTAAATATAAATCACACATTTTGAGCTGCATTTTAGTCTATCCAAGGTTCAGGGTCAGATCCTGCTCTTCACAAAGACACATTGGGTGTGTCCACACATGCAAGCATGTGTACTTGCAGCAGCTCAAATAGAAGCAGCACAAATTTGAGCTGGGGCCTGGACATGCACTTGGGTGTGAGGCAAGTTGTGCCACTTAGGGCAAAATAACCCTGCCTGGCTCCTCCCGGATCTGCAGCCAGGGGGAGCTGGGGCCTGGGGCCAGCACCTGAGCTGGCCCCAGAAGTATAAAAACTTGCCCTGGCCAGCAGCTCAGGGCTACTTTCCCTCAGGAGCTTCTGGGGGTGTTAACTGGAAGATACAAATAGACAGGAGCTTCTTGGGGCCTGGGCAGTTTGTATCTGGGGACACTATCCCTTGTGCCAAATGGATCGCTGAAGCAGCATCCCAAATTCACTTTTTAAAATACCCCAAAATCCATGTTGTTCCACAGGAGAGAGACAGAGATGTATCAATCAGATGGGCAATGTTTTATTGTTATATTTACAATGTTAAAGCAATTTGGAAGCCTACCAGTGTCTCTATCATCATAATAAAATAAATCCTAAATATTTATATGTTTCGATGTTTGCTTTTGGTTTCCTAATCACATGGTGGATGTGTGTTGGGATGTATGATTTGCAGGAGTGTGGAGTGGGTGTGGAGGGATGTGGATCAGTGTGTGGGTAAGTGTGGGGGGACTGTGTGGGGAGGGGTGGGTCCCTTGCTCCCCACAGGGTGCAATCCCCCAGGCACTACAGCCCCTCCCCTCCAGGGCCCAGAGCACCCCTTCACCCCCACTGCCCTTCACTCGTCTCCAGCCTCCTGCTCCTGCTCCTGCTTGTCTCCAGCCTCCTGCTTGTTCTCCTGCTCATTTCCAGCCTCCTGCTCCTTCCCCTGCTCATCTCCATCCCCCTGCTCATTCTCCTGCTCATCTCCAGCCTCCTGCTCATCCTACCGCTCATCTTCAGTGTCCCAAGATGAACTTCCCTATTCCAAGGCTGGAGACGAGCAGGGGAATGAGCAGGAGGCTAGAGACAAGCAGGAGGACAAGCAGGGAGCTGGAGATGAGCGGTGGGAGGGGGTGATCAGGAGGCTGGAGACGATTCAGGGATTCCCCTGCTCCTTTCCAGCCTCCTGATCACTCACCCACTTGGCTCCTGCCCCAACCCTGATTGCTCCCCCTCCTGGATCCAGGCTCCTGCCCTACCTGCAGCTTACCAGCAATGGTGCTCAGGGCACTCAGGGCTTCATGGCACAGCCCCCCCACATGGCACAGGGTAGCAGGAAGCAGCAGGGGTTGGCCCCGGCCTCCTGGCACCTGCGCTACTGCTGCTGCATCATATGGGTGCAGCCCAGCTCGGTAGGGTGCTGCACATTGTCTGGCAGCTTGGGGATGCCATGGCTGTCACCTGGGGCTTGGCGCCACACAGCTCAAGTGGCCTGGAGCTGCAAGACAGCATGCAGTGCCGTGCGGTAGCCTGCCAAGCCAGACCGCACACATGTGATGTGACAATGGCAGGGGGGGGGCCAGGGGGCCAGGGCGGGGTGACAATGGCAGTGCAGGTGCCAGGTGGCCAGGGCTGAGCCCTGATGCCACCAGATGCCCCATGCCATGTGGTGGGGCTCTGCCATGAGGCCCCAAGCAGCCAGGGGGGAAGCAACTGGGGAGCTGGGGGAGGATCAGGGAACTGGAAGATGATCGGGGAACTGGAGAAGCAAGGGAGGAGCTGGGGAAGCCAGTGAGGAGCTGGGAAAGTGATCAGGGAGCTGGGGAAGCAAGTGATGGACTGGGGCAAGGCAGGCCCTTGCCATGGTCCTCTCCCCCCTCCTCCAGCCCCGCCATCCCCTACTTACCTGTCAGGAGCCTGGGTCCGGGTCCCTGCAGCTTGCATCACTGCTTGCCAGCCATGGGGAGGCAGCGTGCTTCACCACTGGGGCAAGGTGCAGCCATAGAGATGCTCTGGCTGGCTACCAGAACATCTCTGTGGTGAACCAAGTCTCTGGTTGCCTGCCCCGCTTTATTCCCCCCGGGGTATTTTTTGATACCTGGATCTCCAGGTATCACATTTTGAGCCCACGCTACAAATCTGCAGCGTGGGTGAAGGTTTTTTTGTTTCCAGCGTGTGTCTTGTAGCATGTCAAAGGAGTTTGAGATGCTGCAAGAGGCAAGTTCAAGGACACACCCATTATAGTCAACAACAAAACTCTCTTTGGGCCTGGATGAGCAAGATTTGCCTCATGGGTGTCTGGTGCCTCTTGAGTCAGGGGGGGCATGTCCTCCCCCCCCCTCCCTCCCAACACCAGTCAGCAACTGGGCAGGGGTCCCCTGGCTGCCAATCCCACTGGCTGGGGGAGGGTCCCCAGCGGCCAATCCCGCTGGCCGTGAGGGCGCCAATTTCACTCACCGTAAAAGTGGCCACACAACTTCAGGAGCTCTGCAGCCACTTCCAGAAGCAATGCAGCCGCTTTTGCTGGTGGCCCTGCTCCCCGGCTGGTGCTCACAGGAGGGGCACTGGTGCTCCCGCCTGCCCCCCTGCCCGCCGGCTACACAGGGAGTGCAGCCTGACAGGGGGTGCACCGGTGCTCTCAGGAGGTACACGTGCACCTCTGTGCACCCCCTACATGTTGCCCCTGATTTGCCTTATATTTATCATGAAGTATATGATCTAAAGCTAAATAAGTGAGATTACAGCATATACAGATGTGCCCTGCCATGGTTTATAGGTAATCTAAAATGAATTTTAATTGCTATTGTAAAATGAAGCTAATTAATCTAAATTGAATTCCTATTGTCCTAAGAATGAAAACCACTAAACCATTTAAAAATAATTTCACTCAATTCAGTGAAATTCAGTGCATAATTCTGTTGTACACCAAAGTACTTTACCCTTGTTTTGTAAAGTGGCCTTAAAACAGACTTTTTTTTACACTGGCTTTAGTACCATTACATTACCAGAGTTGGGTAAACTGACCTTAACATAAATGAAAGCCAGGCCCATACATGTGCACTGCCCCGCTATAATGATGGCTCTGCTCACATACATTCCATCTAACTACAAATCCACACCACCATAATAATTTATTTCATTTCTTGCACCTACTAGCTCACCTGGAGTTATTTTGTTAGGGCAGAGTAGATTTTTCTCTACCTTTTTTGAGCTTGTGGTAGATTTCTGCTTCTGCTTGACTGATGGTTTGTTGATATCAGGAAATTTAGATTCATGTTTATTTCCAAGAGATTTGATAGCAGATTTCTGTTCACATCCAGAACCCTCATCTGCAGAGGTCTAGAAGGGTAAAAAGAGAAATACCATTGACTGAACACTTGGTTTGTATTCTCTGAATGAGAAAAAGGTCTGTATGCAAAAATATACCAACAAAGCTTCTAATAAACAGGAGGAAAAGGAAAGTATCATACACATGAAAGAAGTGTTCCCCCCCCCCCTTCATATGAATAGCTTCAAAAGGTGGGGTAACAGAAACATAAAATCAATAAAATAGATATTTCTCAAGAATATAATAGTTTTGTTTCAATTAAAACTACAGTAAAAGCTCTGTTATCTGGCATCCCCTGGGAATGGGGGAAGCCGGATAACAAAATATGCTGGTTAATTGAGCGGCCCGAACAGGCTTCCTTGCCTGTTCGGGCTGCCGCTTCTCCTGCCACGTCTGGGGCACCACCACCCCTCCCAAAGCATTGCTTCCCCTCCCACAGGCCCTGCAGGCCTAGCAGGACAGTGAGGAGGGCCCCGAGCAGCCTCCTATGCTCCAGGCCGTGGGGGCTCGGCAGCGCAGGCTGCTTTGCCTCAGGCCATGCGAGCTCGAAGAAACCAGAAGTGCCACAGTGGGCACTCCCAGTTTCACTTTACCTTACAAGCCGGCATGCCAGTTAATAGAACATGCCAGCTTATAAGCTGCCAGTTAATGGAGCTTTCACTGTATGAGTTTCTTAAGTGGGCAGAAAACTTCACTATACAAATCATCTTCTGTCATTAAAGCTAGATTCTGCTCTTGCTTCTATCCATTTAATTCTGGAATTACTTAAGTCTATAATTTTAAGGTAATATAACTAAGAACAGAATTTGGCTCTGAAACTGAAATCATAAAATCAAACCAATGATGCAAGAATGGGAATGAATGTTTCCAATTAAGTTTATTAGAGATGTTAATTTTCATAACTGGGTTAAACTTATGACCATTTACCTCTTGCCACCATAGGGGAGACCATGATGCAAATCACTGCTGTTCAATTACAAAACATTTTGTATGTTCCAACTCTACAAAATAATTATTTCTGCTGTACTCTAGAGAATAGGCCTGACCTTTGTGGCTACAGTGTTGAAATTCTCTGGTGCTATACACATCATCCATTTATCATTAGCACTAAGATATGAGTCCAGTTGTCTACATGTATATGTAAATTGCTTAGGAAAGGTTCAATATAAAAATAGCTTCATGCTATTTTTACTCTTCATTTCCCTATATGGCAGTTTTCCAGCTGGGTAAGTGGCATTTTTGGCAGCTACATGTTATCTGCTTGTATTACCTGCGCAGTGTGGATACACATAAGTATCCCCCTGGCTACTGTGTCCGCTCCGCAGGGTTGCCAACCCAAGACAGAGAGGGAACCTAAATAAATGCCCCAACATGTCTTTTTTGATAAAAAAAAAAAGAGAACGTCCACTTTTCCACAGAGGGGCATAGACACCTTATTTTCTTGCTTAAAGAGAGGAGTACTAGTAGTTCTTGTTAAAAATACAGAGAAACATCTCAGGAGCTATTGTAGCAGTGTTAATAGAATGATAAATATTATACATTAATAACATGAATTATATTACTAATAACATATTAGACAAATATTAGATATTCACAGAGGACTAGATATTAATCAGTTTTACTCTTCCCAAAGTGCCGTTTCTAAGATTTAGCTACATACTGCTTCTGCCAAGCACACTCCACCCTGATTGTAATTTTTTCATTTTTACAGTAACCTGCATACTGTGATAAAGATTTCATTAATGGGCATTACAGTTATATGTTCAACATGCTTCATTGTTTATGAGTTACAACAACAATTCACTGTGAAAGAGGAAATATTTTGTCATCTGAACGACCAGACAATTTCTGATATGGATGTAGGAAATAGTAATGCAAGATATCGTCACTTTAGATACTACTGCAATGAAAAGTGAGTAGCCAGACAGTTTTGTTTTGAAACCAGAGCCCCAAGACTAGATTCTTGGAGAAACTTTACTATATATGGGTTTATTTGTTTTTTTCCAGTGTTCCACCCTGATATGTCTGGATCTGTCCAGTTTTCTTAATATTATAAAATTAATCATTCTAATATTAAACTATTATAAATAATTTGTATTTCTTATTTCGGCCTTGAAAAATAATATTTCAAAATTAGATGCATGTTCAATATGCTGGTTATCATTTGCTGGCAGATAGCATAGTTTCAAACCACAGTAGAGAAAATACTAATATTATTATTACTTGGTTGTTATTATATTGTAATATAAGTAATATATTACATATAAGTATTATTTAGATATCACTTGTACAATGTTACTTATATATAGTTATATAAAGGGCTGGAGCAGGGAGCTGCCAGGTGGCTGATGAGAGCGGCCATTTTGGAGAGCTCTGTTATAAAAGCAGAGCAGTATGAGATCAGCCAGCAGGGAGGAAACATTGTCTTGCTGAGCTCTGGCTTCAGGAAGAACTCCGAGATAAGGGTGAGGCTATGGGGAAGGAGGAGGCCTCATTGGTCCTGGGCATGACCTAAAACTGCAACCTGCTGGAATAAGGAGACCTGGTGGTCCTGCCTGTGGTGGAGCAGGGCCACATAAATACCAGGACCGAGAACCTGGGTGGGTTACCAGGAGGGTTGGGGGGGGTGGGGCAGGAAGGTAAGCTTATGAGAAGTCCCTGAGTTCCATGGGGTGTTGGACCCTGGAGGTGGGCCAGGCATGCTCAAAGAAGAGCATCTGAGCCCAAGGGGGTGTAAGACCCTGGACCCTGAGAGTTGTAGGGTGGAGTTGTGGGGCCAGTTAAGCTCACGGAGGAGCGGCTGAGTTCTCAGGGGTGGAAGACCTCAGGCCCTAGTGTCACAAGCAGAGTTGTAGCCTGAGAGAAGGGTGTAGTGGTCTGGTGAGGGCCAGGAGAGAAGTAGGCCTGTAGTTGAGCAATCTCTCAGTCCTGTTTGGGTAAGGGTCATGGGAGAGGCCCAAAAGACCACACCAGGGCTCACCAAGGGATGGAGAGAAAAGCCTGAAGATCTCTTCGAGTAGGGTGGAGTGAGTGTGGCCTGGATAAGCAGTATGAAAGAGACTGGGTGAGAGCCAGTGGAGTGCAAGAGGCCCCGGTGAGAGGGGGCTGGTGTGTGTGTGGCCTGAGAAGGCAGCATGGGAGAGACACAACTGTGTGTCCAGTTTGACTCAGCTTTGAACCGGAGGTGGAACACATTGTGAGACATCAGAGAAGCATGGGACATGTAGGGTTGGTAGGAGCACGTACTTATCGTCCTTGGTCATTTGGGTGCATGAAGGGCACCCACCCACCTATTTAACATCACAATCATTTATCAACAAGGTGTGGCAGGAGAACAAGGTGGGCAGTTTGCCCAGAGACAAAGGTGCGGGACCGGAAGCCGGGGGAAGAACAGAAAAAGCAAAATTTAAAAAAGAGCACTCACCTGCAGCGAGACCCGCGGTGAAGCCGGAGCACCGGAAGGAACCCATGTGAGCCATCAGCCGTGCTTTCATACAGTTGCGGCCGGCCGGTGATGTCAGCGGCAATTACTGGCCGGCGGGGATAAAGAGGACGGCCCACAAAGAGGTGGGGGAACGGATGCTGGGGGAAACCCCAGCCGGTGGGGAACACAGGAGGCTCGGGACAGAGCGAGCAGGACAGGAGACGGCGGTTCCCACCGGAGGAGGATCCAATGCCTCACGTGGTGAAGGCGGAGAGGCCAACGGCGGTAAAGGTAAACCCGCGTTCGGGGCCAGAGCTCTGGTGCGAAGAAGGGAGGACCAGGAAGGCCAAGGCTGGAGAGACCCCGAGCCCAGCAGCCACCGTGGAGAAGGAGGAGGCACTGATCTTCCCTCAAGTTTCCAACCAGGTGGAACGGTGGAGGGATTTGGGGAACCTGGAGGGACGCCTCAGGGAGAGGGACGTTACCAAGAAGGCCCAGAGGGAGGGCAGCATTACCAAGAAGGCCCAGAGAGAGGGCGGCAGTATTGACAAGACCCAGAGAGAGGGCTACATTCCTAGGAGCCCAGGGGGCAAAGGCAAGAGAGATTAGGGATAACCCTGAGGTCTCATGACCACGGGTAGAACTGGAGATAGCTTCAAGGAAAAAAAGGGGTGCTGGGAGGATAGGAGTGGGCCCTAGGGGCCGAGTGTGAGTACCGAGAGATACCTCGGGAGAAGTATGTACACACGGTGCTGGTGGAGGGTTTTTTTTTTCTTTTTTATAAAGTATTTTTGTGTTTCCCCGCATCTGGAGGGGTTGGGTAGAGAGGTAAACCAGGGAGAGCTGAACCTCAGGATTGGGAGGTGTCAACTGAGAACACCAGAGGCCTGAAAGCCTGGGAAACAGCATACATCCATCGTGCAAGGAAGTGGCTGCAGGACCAACAGTGGCCCACCAGGTTGGGTATAGGGTGAGGTAGAGGGGAGGTGGAGCCTCGCAGAAGACCACCGGAGAAGTAAGTGGCCCCAAGGTAGTCGTAGCAATACCAAAGCACCTCCCCCACACTGTAGCAAGATTAAAAGTCATGACAGGAGAGATAGGGGAGGACTGCATCATGAGTAAACACCTCCTTGAAGGGCCACCTGCGACGCCAAGGTGGACATAGGGGTACACCCGTACCAAAGACGCTTGGGACAGGATGTTCGAGGCCCCGCAGGCACAATATAGTATGCATATAAATTATATTATTTAGTTGTTAGCACATTCCATAGATGTCAAAGCAGTTCCCTACATAGGATGTTACAATTATCCCCATTTTAAGAATGGATCACACAGCCAACTGGGAGGAGAGCTAGAAATAGAATTCAGGGGTGAAATACTAGTCTTACTGAAGTGAAATGGGAGTTCTACCACTGATTTCAGAGGGCCCAGGATTTCTATTTAGTTCTCTTAAATTAATTTACTGGACTACTGCATTCTGTTCAGATGTGCTTGATATTTAGACAGTCCATGAACTGAACGTCATCATCTTACTTCATAAAAGAAAGGATTTTTAACAGATGCCACTAAGGGTGTTGTTATACTTTA